AACTTTTTATGCAATGGAAGGTTCAATTGATGTTAAAAACTCTTTATGGGACTGATGCCAATAAAAAAACTTTTTTTTTAAGAGTACATAATATAATATATTATATAATATAATATGCAAAAAGTAGGCTATAAAGTATAAAAGTACATTCTGTTGTATATTTTGTGCAGCTGTTTTAGGCTTTGTGTCCTGATCTAGAATCTTTTTCTTTTTTGCTCTCCAACAAAAGGGCAACTTCTCACTAGAACTTCAAAGCCCCTTCAGAGATCCTTAATTACACGAGCAATGGTATAATTAGGATTCTTACGAAGCCGCTCGCGCTGACCCGGGATCTGTTCCTCATCTTTGATCATCTGAAGACGACCAGACCTATATGATGATATAAATCATCTGAAGAGCGAAAAGAAAATATATGATTGATCGGTGCTGCCAGAGCGTCTCATTCTCATTCAGCGAGATGCTTCATAAAGTCGAAATGCAACAAAAACAAGTAAAGTTTCTACCGAAATCAAGCGCGTGCATGAAATGAATCAATAAAAAAAAATCTGTTTTTGCAGCTTTGAAAGTGACAGAGATCGTTAAACGATGGTAAAGTGAACTCGGTTGCACCTCCAGCATCCTCGGGCGAGCTCTCACGCAACGTGGCCAATCTTTAACCCGCGCGCCACAGGTGCATGCACGCGATGCTGTTTGTTAGGTTTATCGTAGCGTGTTTCAAATCATGATAACAGTCTGTGGTGACCGAGATTCTTACAAGAGAAACTATACCGCAGAACAAAGAAATCAGCGCAGTTCGGGTTTCATGCATTTCAGTGACAGCGCTTTACTGACACGCATTGCATTGGTTTGACTCCATTCTGGCGGCTTTTCCTGTTGACACACTGAATGAGATGTACGAAAAAGGTGTGCAGGAATCTGCAGCAGGGCTGTGAAACACACACACACACACACACACACACACACATCTTTGCACGCGATGCTCTACCTGTTGCTTAATGAGTTACGAGCGCGTGCCAGGCGAACATGACCCTACAAATCAACGCAAAACTCTTTCTTTCGTCGATTTACTCTTCGGCGAATATGCAGGCAATTATCAGATGTGTTGCAACAAACAGTTTATTTAGTCTAATTGCTGAAATTGTCAAAAAAGATTTATGGCACTGACTTCTGTCTGTTAAAACGGTTTTATTAGATAAATAAACATCAAGAAGCATGTTAAAGTATCTTCTTTCTTTCTTTCTTTCTTTCTGTGCTCAGCTGTATATTTTTTATGAGTTGTAAATATCTAATCTATAATACGCATTGCGCATTTATTTCTCAGTCTATGCATTGATTAGTATTTTTCTAAAAACGGTCAGACAGCTGTTGTAATGTTGTAAAATATTATCGTTATCACATATACGTCAAATACATGGCAAAAAGTTTAACTCATTTATTTTCATATATTTCAAGGTTCTTTTAAAGTTTCACTATTTATTTATTTATTTAGGATTTGTAATACATAAATCTATTATTATTATTTAACCTATCTATATTAATAAATAATCCATCTAGTTTAATAAATATATAGTAAGAATATTGTAAATTTGTTTAAAGGTTCTGTTGGTTTAAAGGGTTGATCATTCATTCACACACACACACACACACATACACACACACATACACACACACACACACACACACACACACACACACACACACACACACACACACACACACACACACACACATATATATATATATATGTAGTCACATCATTTAGATATGTGTGTGTTTGGAAACGCAAGAGAACTTAATTAAGTCTCTAATTACTCACGCAGTTTTTCTCCGTTAATGTTGCGACGAGGGATCGATCCCCCTGTAATAAAATCTCACTCCTGTCACTGATTCTCTCCCATTCACAAAGCCTCCAGCTCTTCGTGACGTCACGTGAAGAGCAACCAATCGCCACGAGGTCTTCTCTATAAAAGTTTTCCCCGCTGGAACACTGCAGCACTCCTCTGGAGCTAATTGACTCTGAATAGACAGATTCAGCTGAGAAGAGGAGAAATATTCGTCCGATCGCTCTGGGTAAGTCTGATGGCAATGTTTCTTTCTTTTAGAGAATATTTGATTTCATTTCAATTTTCAATTTCAATCTTTTTTTTTTTTACACAAAAATATAAAAAAAATGAACCCTTCTTACTTCTTTTACACAATATTGTACCACTTGTTCATTGACTGGTGTGCATTAGATTTTAGAAAATGGATATATAGATAAAAATGTATGGCCCAACTTTGGGTCAAATTTGGACTAACCCAACTTTTGGGTTAAAAATTTAATGTAAAAATTTAACCCAACAGTTGGGTTAGTCCATATTTGACCCAAAGTTGGGTTGAAACAACCCAGCATTTTTTAGAGTGTATATATATATATATATATATATATTTGACTAAAGATTTTAGATCAATATTTAAAGTTTTTAAGTTTATTAGTGTTATTATAGGACATTACAGTAAATGAAAGTGTGTGAGAGTGTGTGTGTGTGTGTGTGTGTGTGTGTCTGTCTCAGATATGCGCTCTGACCTTGAGACAAATCACTTCACGTGTACTTTATTAGTAATGAATTTCGCAAAATGCAAATAACCAAACAACATGCACTGGTTAAACTGCAAAAACAGATCTGTTAGTTGCATGCATGCACTAAAAAGCTCATGCATGCACATGCAATGCAACATTACCAAAAAATGGGTTGCAGAGCCTTTTTCAGTATCATTCGTGCAAGATGTATTACTGCACTATTCTCTCGCCGTCTAAGGTTAACAGTCAGTGTTATTGGTCTCTCTTTTGTTTTAAGCAGGTAACCTGTTCAGTGTTTGCAAGAGCAAAGATTGTTGAGGGAAACAGAGCAAAGGAAGATAGCCATGCCTCTTACGGTTCTTCCCATGTTGGGCCCGATTTCTGTGTCTGAGAGCCTTGTGGCCATCATCACGATATGTGTGGTGTATCTGCTCATGCGCCTCACGCATATTAAGATCCCAGAAGGGCTCCAGAAGCTGCCGGGACCGAAGCCTCTTCCCATTATCGGAAATGTTCTGGAAGTGGGAAACAACCCACATCTGAGCCTGACCGCTATGAGTAAGTGCTACGGCCCCGTCTTCCAGATCCAGATGGGCATGCGTCCCGTTGTAGTACTCAGCAGAAACGACGTGATCCGTCAGGCCCTCCTCAAACAAGGCGAGGAGTTCGCCGGACGTCCGGATCTCTATAGCAGTAAGTTCATCAGCGACGGAAAGAGCCTGGCCTTTAGTACGGATCAGGTGGGTGTCTGGCGCGCCCGTCGCAAACTGGCCCTCAGCGCCCTGCGAACATTTTCCACAGTGCAAGGCGAAAGCTCAGAGTATTCATGTGCCCTTGAGGAGCACATCAGCAAGGAAGGTCTCTATCTGATTGAAAGGCTTCACAACGTCATGAAGGCCGACGGGAGTTTCGATCCCTTCCGGCACATCGTGGTGTCCGTGGCCAACGTGATCTGCGGGATTTGCTTCGGCCGGCGCTACAGCCACGACGACGACGAGCTGGTGAGCTTGGTCAACCTGAGCGACGAGTTCGGGAAGATCGTGGGAAGCGGCAATCCTGCGGATTTCATCCCTTTCTTGCGTATCCTGCCTAGCACAACCATGAAAAAGTTCTTGGACATCAACGATCACTTCAGCAAGTTGGTGAAGAAGATCGTCAGTGAACATTACAACACCTTCGACAAGGTGGGAGCTCTCAGACTTGTCCATCAGATCGCTTTCCCCTTTATGCTTTTCATATGTGACCCTGGAGCACAAAACCAGTCATAAGGGTCAATTTTTTGAAATTGAGATTTATACATCATCTGAAATAAGCTGAATAAATAATCTTTCCACTGATGTGTGGTTTGTTAGGATAGGACAATATTTGGCTGAGATACAACTATTTGAAAATCTGGAATCTGAGGGGGCAAAAAAATCTAAATATTGAGAAAATCATCTTTAAAGTTGTTCAAATTAAGTTCTTAGCAATGCATATTACTAATCAAAAATTAAGTTTTGATATATTTACAGTAAGAAATGTACAAAATATCTTCATGGAACATGAGCTTTACTTAATATCCTAATGATTTTCGGCATGAAAGAAAAATCTATAATTTTGATCCATACAATGTATTGTTGGCTATTGCTACAAATATACCCCAGAGACTTAAGACTGCTTTTGTGCTCCAGGGACACATATTTGATATATTTAACTTCAGAATCAAAAGGAAAAAGTAAAAAAGTTCACTTGTTTTTGTAAAATTAGATTTTTAAAAAATTATTTATTTTTTAATGCTGCGTTTAAATTGCAAAGTGTTCATGCATCATTTTAGTATTTGTTGCACTGATTTTATGTCTTATACAGTAAAAGTATGTTTAGACGCATTGAGAATTTGGCGGGAAAAGTGTGCTTAATTCTCATGAAATGAATGTTGCAATGTAGAAAATCTGAATGCTGCTAATAGTCTTCATTTCTCGGTTTGTAAAATGTCATTTCTTATTTTTTACCCTTACCCTTTTTAGGCATGCACATTTTGAGCTGTATGTAAGCAGAACAAATAACCAATTATTAGATCAAATAAGAAATTGATTTTTTTTTGTAAAATTATAAAATTTCATAATATAAAAAAATCGAAAATTATAAAAAAAAAAAAAAATCTGTTTGTAAGTAACCAGAAAAAAAACGAAGAAAAAAAAAATTTAATTCCATAAATTATATGCATGTTATATTATACGTGTGTATAATAATATGTATCACAATTTATGAATAATGAATTTAAAAAAGTAAAAATCTTAGCAGCCCCAATTTAGGCTTCATTTCCTTTATATAAAATATACTATTTTTACATTTTCTTTTGTTTTTCTGTGGAAATATGACTCTTTTTTTTTTTTTTGATTTATTCTTGTATATTTGATGTGTTTGTATGTAACCTAAACTCTTTTCTCTGTCTGTCCTCTCAGGTGATGATAACGGTGAGTTAATATTTGCACATGATACATGATGCTTCTGCAATGAAACTGGTCTCAGATCAGTGCAGAAGGGCTTTTATTAAAGCAGACTTTGTCTGTTTCTCACAGGTGAAGGGTTTTACAAATGGATGGAAGGTGAGTGATTATTTACAGTGTAAATATGATGAAAACACAGATGCATTAATTTGCATATTAATAGTTGTACAAATGACTTGCACAAATTCGTTCTGCTCGTGTTTCATGAATGAGGCCTGACACACTTCCTCCTGAAACTGAGAGATGTCCTCATTATTTGTTTTAAGTATTTTTGTGCTCTGCATTGAAAATGCTCAAGAGTTGGGGATAATGCGAGTTATTTTGATATGTTGATTTGCTAATATAATTACCCAGTCTGAGGTTAGACTGTGTTTGTTCAACACTGATAGTGGAGACAAGAAATTCCTACATTAGAAACTAATATCTATTTATTTGTTTTTATATGGATACATTCAACATAAATGTCTACATATATGTTAAATTTAAATGATCTATTGTGAAGGAAAAAAATTTAATTAAATATTTATAATAATAAGTCAAAGTAAATTATTTACTTCAAGTTTAAATGTAGTTTAAACGTATAGTCATAGTACTTTTAATTTATTATTATTGTTACAATACAAAATTAAACTACAAAATTCTGCATTTTGGCAGAAAAAGTTTTTTTTATATCCTGTTTGTTGCCATTCTTATTTATTAAATATGCATATGACTTTTTCTAATGTATAATTATTATACACAGTTTTATGAGCTCATATTTCCCCCCAAAATAAATATTATTAAAAAAATTAAATACATTTTTTATTTAAATACATTTGAAACATAAAAAAGTATGCCTTATAGTTATAGTATTTTATTTATTGTTATTATTATTATTTTTATTTATAAATAATAATATAATAATTCTGTGTATATTATTAATTTTAATGCTAAGGGTTAATGTGGGGGATTGTTTTGCATATGATTTTAACCTAAACATTTTTAAACATTTTTTCTAATGTATAATTATTATACACAGTTTTATGAGCTCATATTAAATAATAAAACTGTAAGAAAAAAAATTATATATATATTTTTTTAAAATGCATTTAAAAACTACATTATACCTTACAGTTTATAGTTAAAAAATACTTTTTTATAATGATTTTTATATATATATATATTTGTTTTCATTATTTAAAAGAACTAGTTTGTATTGTGTGAAGCTCATTGTTAATGCTTTAGAAAAGTGTGTTGGTTTACTGTGTGTTGATGCGCTGCAGGTTTGTGTTTGGAGAAGCGTGTTTTCTATCGTCTGATCTCTGGCCTCCACAGCAGCATCAACATCCACCTGTGCGCTGAATACCTGCTGGACGGTAAACACACAGATGCAAACTCCTCAGATTTCAATGACACCTCACTCTTTTGAGATCAAAACAGGCCACCTGTGAGGTTTGCTTAGATCCAATGAGAAAGTGTTTTACAAGGGTACTTGTGATCTTACAAGGGTTTTGCATAGTGTTTTCTTTACTCTTTACTTCAAAAGCTGTCTGAAAGGGTAATATTTGATGTATTTGAGGTCTGAGATGTGTGAACGGTGAAGAAGAGAAAGAGAGAGAGGGCAAACATTTAGCATTTTAGCTCAGCATTGCCGTCTAATCAGCCAATATTGTGTTAAATAACCTGCATAGCACTTCATCTTTTATAACATGGGATTTTGACCAAATATATTAAATCTTGATTTTTGTAAAATGTTGCAACAAGATGTTAAAAAATGTTGTTTTTTTTTGAAAAATTAGTTTTGGATATATAAGGTAATAAAAAATATTTTTAAAAATACCTTAAAGTAACTACAAATGAGCATGTCATTGCATTTACATTTAGTCATTTAGCAGATGCTTTTATCTAGCAATCAAAACCAGCAAAAGAGCAATAATATGTAAGTGCTATGACAACTATAAAGCAGCACACAAAGCAAGTTATTATTATTTTTATATAATATATTATATATATATATATATATATATGAAGAGTTCATTTGCAAAAACCGATAAACGCGATCAAAAGCGACAAATAAGACATTTATAATGTCACAAAAAAAAATTCTATTTCAAACGAACGCTGTTCTTTTTCAACTTTCTGCTCATCTGTGAATCCTGAAAAATCAAATGCATCACGGTTTCCACAAAAATATCGTGCAGCACAACTGTATTCAACACTGATAATAATCAGAAAAGCAGCAAGTCAGCATATCAGAATGATTTCTGAAGAATCACGTGACACTGAAGACTAGAGTAATGATCGGAGCAATAAATTAGTTTAATAGATATTAAATAGGCCTGTCACGATCATGCATTTAGTGCTGACGATTCATTAATTGTCTGTTTTGTTCAATGCAATTACATTGTCAGTCAAATACATATATTTTTTTTTATTAAATTTAATTAATTTGAATATATAATTTTTTCGTATAATCTTTCCTTATGTGATTTACAGCAATAACTGACTGCTGTGATGCTGAAATCTGACTCGCCTCCAGGAAAATGAGACGCAACAGCAACATTTACACAAATGTAAACTGTACAATTATTGTGGATATCTCAAATAACTGCAAAAACCTGACAGGCCTTATATTAAAATAAAAAAACAGTGTTTGAAATTGTAATATTTAACAACATAACTTTTTTTCCCCCTGTGTTTTTGATCAAAGGCAGTCTTGGCGAGCAGAAGAGACTACCAGCCCAAACCTTTGAGCTGTAGTGTGTAATTAATTAAGTGTATTTGGTGAAGCGCAGACCTTCTTCCTGGGCTTGAGGTGCTCCCTCCACTCCTTCAGCTGCTGGTTGTGCTGCTCGTCCACAGCCTTCAGACGCTGCGTCTCGTTTTCTATCAGCAGGTGACACTTCTCATTCTGCAGGAGACCAGCACACAGTGACACACTGATACAGACACAGCTTTTCTCTACGGTTTGAGACGACGTGTTTGACAGAGGCTTCTGAATTTGAAAGGGAATTTGAAAATATTGATGCATGTTGAGTGGTGTGATGTATATTGTATTGATAGATATTTATGTTTATACTGGTATGTGCCTGTTATGTGCTGTTCACTTTCTAAAGATATACTGTATGATCATTTGTAAACATTGGAAGCAAACAGCAAACGTATTTCCCCTAGTGGAAACATTCGGTACTGCGGCCAAACAAAATTCTCATTTTTTTTGTGATATCAACCTCAAATTTGGAACACAACGTTGTTAGATTTATGGCTTTGATTTTCTAGCAGGTTTAGAGTAAAACATGTTTTAGAACCTTTATGCTTTTCATATGTGACCCTGGAGCACAAAACCAGTCATAAGGGTCAATTTTTTGAAATTGAGATTTATACATCATCTGAAATAAGCTGAATAAATAATCTTTCCAGTGATGTGTGGTTTGTTAGGATAGGACAATATTTGGCTGAGATACAACTATTTGAAAATCTGGAATCTGAGGGTGCAAAAAAATCTAAATATTGAGAAAATCATCTTTAAAGTTGTTCAAATTAAGTTCTTAGCAATGCATATTACTAATCAAAAATTAAGTTTTGATACATTTATGGTAGGAAATTTACAAAATATCTTCATGGAACATGATCTTTACTTAATATCCCAATGGTTTTTGGCATTAAAGAAAAATCTATAATTTCAACCCATACAATGTATAGTTGGCTATTGCTACAAATATGCACATGCAACTTAAGGTCACAGGTGGTCCAAGGTCACAAATGTGATATTTTTTTCAGGATAACATCCGAGACATCACCGATTCGCTCATCAACCACTGCGAAGACCGGAAACTGGACGAGAACTCAAATGTCCAAGTGTCCGATGAGAAGATCGTCGGAATCGTCAATGACCTCTTCGGAGCTGGTGAGCGCTGGGAAAACTGAATAATTTTCAATCTCTGCATGATATTAAAGCATGTCCGTGCTCATTGACAGGTTTCGACACTATCAGTACAGCTCTGTCTTGGGGTGTCGTCTATCTAGTGGCCTACCCTGAGATCCAGGAGCGACTGCAAAGAGAGCTGAGTGAGTATCTCTCTCTTTACGTCTTTCTGTCTTAAAAATTAAGGTTTCCTAAAGGGGCTTTCGCAGTGATGCCAAAGAAGAACAATTGTTGGTTCCTAAAAGAACATTTTAGAAATCTAAAGAACCTTTTTCCACTATAAAGAACCTTAAAAGTAAGTTTCTTCATGGAACCATCGTTGCCCATAAAGAACCCTTATCTTTAAGAGTTTATAGTGGAAAAGGTTCTTCCACTTTTAAAAATTAAAGTTCTGTATTGGCATTAATGGTTCCATGAAGAACTTTTTAAGACATTTCCATTGCACTAAAGGTTCTTTGCAGAAGAAAAGGGCTCTTTAGATTAGTAAAATTTTTATCACAATAAGAAAAAAGGTTATTTTAAGAGCTATTCACTAAAAGATTCCTATGCGATGAAAACCTCCTTTTGGACATTTTATTTTTAAGAGTATATTAAAATATTGCTATCTCTTTAAAAAATACTCTGGATTTTGGCAGCAATACAATGGAAGAACTATTTTTGGTTCCCCACAGAACCTTTCAGTGATCAGTCTTTAAAAGAACCATTTATTTCTTAGTCTGCAGAACATTTTGATAATGTAAAGAACCCTTTTACACTATAAAGAACCTTGTAAAGCTCCTTTATTGGCATTGAAGGTTCCGTGAAGAACCTTTAATATCCATAGAACCTTTCTGATGCAAAAAAAAGGTTCTTCTATGGAATTGCTGTGTGAAAACGGTCTTTTGTAACCTTAAGAGTGCATGGTTGTTAAAGGACAATGGAAGAACCATTTTTGGTTCCCCACAGAACCTTTCAGTGATCAGTCTTTAAAAGAACCATTTATTTCTTAGTTTGCAGAACATTTTGATAATGTAAAGAACCCTTTTACACTATAAAGAACCTTGTAAAGCTCCTTATTGGCATTGAAGGTTCCGTGAAGAACCTTTAATATCCATAGAACCTTTCTGATGCAAAAAAAAGGTTCTTCTATGGAATTGCTGTGTGAAAACGGTCTTTTGTAACCTTAAGAGTGCATGGTTGTTAAAGGTTCTTCATGGAACCATCGATGCCAGTAAAGCACCTTTATTTTTAAGAGACTAGGTAGATTTACTCCACTGCAACTGGCTTTCAAATCTTCCAATCTGACAAATGTTGTTAAAATCTTTCTAGAGGAAAAGATCGGAATGGACCGTACGCCACTCTTGTCGGACAGAACGGACTTGCCGCTTCTCGAGGCATTCATTCTGGAGATCTTCCGTCATTCGTCCTTCCTTCCTTTCACCATTCCTCACTGGTGAGTTGAGAACAGCATCCTTGCATTAAATAAAACCACATGTGAATTGAGTTACTGAAGATGGACGCCTGTAAACAATGCTGCGGTGTTTCCCAAAGTTGGCCGTGCCAATGACTGCTTGTGTTTTACTCTTTCAGTACGTCTAAAGACACGTCGCTCAATGGATATTTCATTCCCAAAGACACCTGTGTGTTTGTAAACCAGTGGCAAGTCAACCATGACCCGTAAGTTTCTCATAATGACCATAAACAGTGTTGGGGAAAGTTACTTTTAAAAGTAATGCGTTACAATGTTGCGTTGCTCCCTAAAAAATTATGTTACTTAGTTACTTTTTATGCAAAGTAATGCGTTACGTTACTTTTGAGTTACTTTTTAAATCTGGGCGGGGCTTGCTTGTTTGTTTTTAATATAGCAAAGTTCTATGTAAAAGCCCTTTCACAACAAAAGTGAAATGAATGAGCCTCAGGCTGAAGGAAATGTAAATTCACGTCTGTACAGTAGAGGGCGCAGCTCAAACTAATCACATGAAGCATATGACGCAGGAGAAGAAAGTTATTCAGAAATAACAAAAATCAAACACAAATGTGTCATTTTTACTTATTAGTATGGTTGAATTGGATCATCGAAGATCATTGGTTAATAAAATGGGATTAAATAAATAAATGATATTCGTCTTATTTAACATATTTAATTAGTGCAGGTTTGCATCATGTTCTGAGTTTGCATTTGACTGTTTTTATTCATTTTGAGGAATACTGAATCTGTTTGTGTGCAGGTAAGATGAGTAAATACATGTTCATATTTAGTCTAGAACTACAGTAACATCACAGCGCACA